TGTTGGCAATGCCCCATGTGACCCAACCGCTAAGCAATTTTCCTTGACGAACCTTGAGGATGACAATCTATACAACTAAAATCTTGAAAACATGATATAACTATATATTATACATATTAACACAGGGAGAGAGAGAGAGAGGGGGAGCGAGAGAGAGAGAGAGAGAGATCTATACACATACATATTGTAAGGATGGCCGCACGCCAGGACTGTGGAAGCCAGGAGTGGTTTGAAGGTTTCTTTAGACTGGAGCGTTCAGGAGCACGAGCGCCTCGTTCAAAAAGAGTCAGATTGCCAAAGTTTTGCTTAGCCATGATGACACGTCAGAACCGAATGCAAGAAGTAGCTTTAGCAAGGGCCATGATGGACCTCGACTGTTGGAACCAACAGAGTTCCTTTCTGGGTCCATCGATGCACGCAGGATCGTGTTCGACCACCCTATGTCCATTTGGTGCAGATCCTGGCGGGGCGCCCGGTTTGGGAAAAATACAGCGTCACAGCGTCACACGCTGTGCAAGACCAAACGACTTTGCGACAGGCACGCGAGAAGGAGGAGAAGCATCCAGGTGCACTTGTTGGATGAATTGGAAGTCGGCTGAAGCTTGAAAGAAGAGATTAGATATATGACACATATATATTCCGAGATTTGTTTCAACACCAGCATGCAAGTCTAGACATGTTTGTATACTTTATGATATGTTGATGTTGGTTGTTTGTCGGCATTATATTGGCTGACTTGTTTAGCCAGGTCTGCCCATGCCCTCGTGACATGGCCGGATGTTCTTCTTTCCTTGTTCCGTGTCAGCCCTTTGCCGTATCAATCACTGACTTTATCTGAAAGATTTTAGTTAAAACGACGTATATATCTAGACATGGTGTTTGCAGGATTCCACTCTTTGAGATATTTGACTGGTTGCCCTAGTTTCGATGCGAGGATCTGTAGTTTGCATCGTCATGGGGCATGTGGGAGGGTTGTTTGCTAACAAAGGCCATACAGATCCATACAGCCTGGTGTTAGCACTTTCACCGCCACAGGGCATTGCTCAGACTTCATCATCGTGGTGGTGCGAGTGCTCAGATTTGAGTAACTCTCTTTGGTTCCTGGATCAACTTTGGGCAAGAGCTGGGGGATCAAGTTTCGGTAGGCTAGGGGTCTTGGAAACCGGCCTGTTTTTCCTTCAAAGGATCCCCAATCACTTGGGAGCAACAGGTTCTCTCCACGCTTGGGACTTGACTATATGTTCGCTTTTGCAACTGGCGCTGGCGCTCACCATAGTCATGGCTGATGTTTGATGTGTGGCAGGGTGTGCAGACTGAAGCCCTGGCGGAAGAGATCGCGCCCCAGACCTTTGCACAAATGTGGCTGTTGAATGCTGTTGATGCTGTTCGTGGGGCCTGGACACTGTTGTGGGAAGCCGAATTTTGTAGTGCTTGATCACATTTTTCAAACATTGCTTTCGGGTTTAGGGCTTTAGGTTTTAGGCTTTCGGGCTTTAGGGTGGTTCAGACCGTACGAGGCATGCTACCAATGAAGTGAGGGCCGGCCATTTTGACAAGGCTCTTGCGCAGTTGCCTGCTGCTGAAAAAGCGACGGGCCTTGACAGCCTCCAGAAAGGTGCGCAGATTGGGCAGAAGCGGCTTTCTCGAAGTGGCTGCACCGGTGGGCCCAATCCCCTTACCGCTGGTGAACGGCACTCAAGAGGAGCAAATAGAGTATCAACATTAAATCTCTGCGTGAGGAGGGGTCCCAAGACTAAATCTCAGTGAGAGTGCTGCACATTGGATGAGATAAATGGTAATCTTAATGGTTCATAGCTGGTGAGGTGGTCTCATAGACCTATAGGAATCATAGAAAGCATGGTGTGGCACAAGATGAGGAAGCCTATTCCTACCTGGAATAGGTGTGAGGTGTTTCCATTTAGAATGAGGAGGTGGAGGCGGAGGTGCCTTTTGAAGAGCACGATGAGGAGAATAAGCATGAGGATGCGGTGGGAATGGAATCTAGTCATGTGTGGTGCAACATGATGGGACCTTTGATTGCGAAGACTTGGCGGCTATGGAGGATAAGGTGATATCATAATAAGGTGCCATGTGAACAGCACAGTGGGGAACCATGCCAAAGGGATGGCAAGCATGAGGAGCATGAGCATGGCATGCCATAAGCATGGCCATATGAAGAGATTCACACAAAATATCCTGGGAAAGCTATGAGTAGTGCTATGAGTCACGTGTGATACAGTACCAGGTGGAATCTTTGCTTGGGAAGACTTGGAGGCCATCGAGGATGGGATACCATGAGGTGCCATATGAACAGCACTGTGGGGAATGTGGGACGATCAGGAACCCATATTTGGCTGCAAAAAGAGGCTTGATGCTTCAAGGATGCAGTTTACGAGCTATCAGAGCATTGAAGTACCTCAAGAAGGACTTGCATGAGCGTGAGACGTAAATGAGGAAGCAAATGGGGAAGGATGGGGGGAAGGGATGTGGGTGGAGATGAGCTGGATGAAGCTGACACACATGCGGCATGAGTCAGCAATTGCATCCAGCGATTTCGATTGGGATGAGCAATGCATGAAGCTGAGAGGGTTGGAAAGAAACAAAAGAACAGGATGAACATATTGGAAAGAGTTTTATATAGAGGCCAGTGGGGTTCGTTATATAGAGGCCAGTGGGGTTCGTTGTCCTTCCACCCGGCAGGACCAAATGAAGGACCGGGTAGTGTGGACCGATTATGGCAGGGATTATGGCAGGCGACTAGAACTGAGCGCAGGTCTCAGGGCGCGCACGTCGGGCAGGGTGTTGTAAAGATTGCTTTACAGGATTTTCTGGGAGCGGCTTTGGGATTCTGCCAGGTCAAAAGCAATGAGTCAATGAGATTCTTATGCAGAGATGGGTCCAGGAAGCATTGAGATGCATTAGGGGTGGTGCAGACAGAAAATACGGTGAGAAGGATGAAGCTGACGATATGGAAGGAGAGTCATTGCAAAAGACGCAGGATGAGCCTCGAGCATCAGATTACACCTGGGCAGTTGCGATTAATGAGGAGCCCAATTGCTCCGAGAGCTCTATTCACGTCCATCAGGGGATGGGCCAAGATCAGGTGATCAGTCAGTTGGAGCACTATCGGTATCAGCATCAGTATCAGCCAAGAGGCACACGGGTATAAGAGCATTTATGTATGTGAAGGATAAGGAGCATCAGATACCAAAACCAAGGAGATTTCCGATGAGGATTTGATCCAGGATATGGCGCAGAGTGGTCAGCTGGTGGTTGGAGGGGGTCAGGTGAGGGGGCTGACTGGTGATGAGATTGTCAGGTGCCTCCAAAGGTCAAAAGACAACCTTCGAAGGATCAGTCATTTCACGGGAAGAAGGGTGGGGGGCAAGTGAAGTTACAACATTGGGATAAGAGGGCGGTGCATGGCAGTGCATGGTGGCCAAAAAGGAAAAGCCATTCGAGCTACAAGGATGCAGCTCCCAGGTGCTGATGTTAACTGAACTGGGGGTATCAAGAGATTGGACCCCAAGAAAGGTGGACCAAACAAATTTACTGGGGGCAGTTGCGTCAACATTTAAACATGGGCTAGAAGGTTTTTGAAAGGCATCTGTCTATCTTTGCAAAACCCAAGGCGGACCAAACTGATTGACGGGGGTATGATAATCCTGTGTCTCCATTACAGGGTGCCGTGAGGACAGGTTCCGAATGTGTTCTTCACTGCAATTTGCAATCGTGTTAGCTGCCTGTAATTGGACCCATGTCCAAATATCCACCGTGCATTTGAGCTTGTGCATCGGAGGTGAAGAGCACGGTCAATGGAGGCAGCAGAGCAATGTTTACGGATGGACGTTGCTGTCACTTTTGTCTCAGAACGATTTTCTGAATGGAAACAAGGGGCTGGAATGGATGCAAAGATTGGCCATTGTTGAGTGACAAATGCTTTCTCCCCAAACAAGTGAGGGTTCAGCGCTACCCAGGCATCCTTCATCAAGAACCGATTCCGAACTGATTTATACCCAAGCATTGGTAAAGCTACAGATACTTGCATTTATCTGCCACATTGCTCGGACAGGTTTGGCTGAACCGAAGAAGATCCCGTGACAGAAACACTGCGTGCGGGAAAATTTGGTTTGCAGGGAGGCACATTCACGATAAGAAATCGAGATCAGGTGGAAAATGCTTTCAGCACCACATATGGTAGAGTCTGAATCAAGGTCACTTAATTATGGTAGAAAGACGTTCATGAGTTCAATATAATTCAATTATGTGTTTTCATTGGGCAGTGGAACGATTCCCGTGACCCCGCACGATTGCCTTCCAAAACATTGGATTTTGTGGATGGTTTTGCTGAGTTGGATGTGGATGGTTGCCCCACTGCAGCCATTTTTCAGCCGTCATTGACGCTTAAAAGGAACTGACTCCGCCTGGTCCCCCCTGACTCCGAATGTCGCGTCACTTGGCCCGTTTTGATGTGACTCAGGATGCCGTTCTTTCACGCTGGTCCGAGGGTACACCTGAGAAGGAGGTTCTGGCAAGACTTTCATTCACTGTTGACTGTGTTTCGGATTCTCGATCAATCCCCCTTTGAAGCATTGAAGGCCCCTTCAGAAGGCCCCTGAACACCTTCAAAGATCTTACTGATGCCTGCTGCCACATCGATTTGTGATATGCTGTCCGCCGACTTCCCAAAGACTTCGTCGCCAGCGACTTTTCCCAACTTCACCGCTTCCCAGCGACAAACCGAAGGGTGACCGGGACCGGGTGACGACGAAATGACAGTATGACTCAGTATGACATGATGACATGCGCGTTTCAACGGGAAACGGCGTGCTGTTTCTGGAAGATTTTGCAGGTGCGAAACATGAAGAAACCAGGCCGGTGTGAGAATCTCTTAGTTTGCCGGACCAGTGCCGCAGCAACAATGAGAGTTATGAAACCGCTGCCAGTCCGGATGAGGTAAATTTATTGTTGGCGGCAACTGGAAATGCAACCCCGCATCGATGAAGGAGGCGAATACCCTCCTGAAGGAATGGAAAAAGATCCTTGACTCAAATCTGGTGTGCGCTTACGATCATACAGAAGCTTTATGACTCCTTTATGACGGTATGACCTTCCTCCGCCAAAACACCCCGACGCCGGGGTGCACGATGGGATTGAAAGCGATCTATTGAGTGGTGATTCTGATGCTGCCGTTGGATGTGGCACATTGGGTCAGAATAAGACTGCGTTGGATCATGTTTGATCAAATCACTGTTCATGGCAGGATGTTCTCATGCAGAAACGGGAATGGATTTGGGAGCACCCGAGGGATGCCGTCAGTTTATTTTAAAACCAATTATACAAAAATACAGGGTCTTGAACGGGTTAAATACGGTCTTAGGTACCGTTTTTAAGAACAAAGAACACGAGGCATGTTGCAGGCAAAGTGTAGGGTTTGAACGCGTAGGGCATAGCTACCTGCAACTTGAGTGAAGTGCATTGCCAAGGAGCCTTCCATCTGTGGACAAGAGCGACTTGGCCAAGATGGATGATGTATAAAATGGCCTTTTCTTGAGGGCGCCTTGAAGAGTGAGTTGCTGGTACTCATAAGTTGCTTTTTGCCCACACTGCCACCTTCTAAGAATGAACCAGGTTCTGGCAGATGTTTGGACTGTTCACCTGGCATTTCTGACTTTCAACATGTTTTGACTAAGCTTTTTCGCCAGCACCGATTCCCCCAAAAAGGGGCCGGGTGAGGCAAAGTGGATGTAGTGATTTGCCCTCCTGCCCTGTGGATGACTACATTGAGTCCAGCCATCGAGGCAAGGTTTGTGGTGTTGACTTCGCAGATAACACTCGACTGTTGTATGTTTGAGAATGTTTTGTGTGATGTTTGGGGCAAGTGGAAGGTTGTCACAAGAAAGGTGCAGAAAGGTTCTCATTTTAGTGCAGGTCCCGGAGTTCCCCTTTGGCTTGCCTGGTCCTTGTCCAAACTCTGGAGTGAAAAAGAGTCTTTGGGCTGTTACCTTGCAGCTCATGCACGCCCTCTTTATCCAGGTGGTTGTAGTGCTGGTGGTTTTGTTGTGTTCCTTTTGGGCTGTCCATGTGGAGCATCGCCAAGACGTCTTCACACCGGTTCGGCGCTTTCGGCCAGCAGCTTGTGAAGTGACCCGGCCACCCATGGTTCGAGCAGACTTTGCTTGTCGCACCCAGAGCCAACCGCTATGTCAATGTGTTTTTCACATCTTTCACATTCTTTCACCTTTGCGGAATCTCTCTCAAGAAAGGAACGTTTGCAACTGCTGCTGTCTCGCTGCACGTTGCCCGCCTTTGTTCCGCCCCGCAGTTGTGACCCCCCTTTTGCTTAATTTTTTTGGTGCTGGCGGCTGGCGTGGCCCTATACTATTGGCCAATCAAAAAGAAGAGATCACGGGACATAGGAGTTGGATTCGTGGTTTCATGCGGTGGTGAAACATGGTCCAACCATTTCTAACAAAACGTCACAATGAACATGTTTATGTATACAATATTGCGGTGTGCATTTGTATAAACACGTGCTACATAACACTACAATATCCAGTGTTTGGTCCCACTGGCGAGCTTTGCATGTGACGGAGGCCTTGGGGATGCAGACTTGTGCGCAGAATGTGGGCAAGAATGATGCTGGTGCATTTACAGGCGGCGCAAATTCGCGTCATGCCAGGTTGGATAAAACCTTGGAACTTGCACTTGCACAAGTCATCAGCTCAAATATAGACAGATGGTTGAGAGTCTTGACCTTTATCGTGACCTTGAAACTGCTCCATAGCCAGAGAAGTTAGTTCATGGCAACTTCATCACTGGGATTATGAGTTCATGTATCTCCACACAACCCCCGTCAACTTGGCGGAATGTGTCGCAAGCGGCATGACAAACACCAGGGCCCACAGTCTGACCAGGGTACGAACGGATCGTGCCACGCTTTTTCAGGTGAATGGACCGCTGCAAACCTGTTGGATTTGGTATGGTGCTTAGAGGGCGACTGCAGGATCACTGCAGGATCTTGGGACATTGCGTGATGTGGCAAGGCACTTGAAATACTTTGCACCGTCAAGGGGTAGTTTCAGTGGGGTATGGGAAATGTGTCTATTCTGGCGGCCGCATGGGGCTTTACTCCGTTCCTGGATTGATCGTCTGCGGTCGCATGGGATCGTGCGTCGGGCGCGCCAGAACATCAAGTGGACCCTCATCGGCCATTCTGAGCGACGAACGAAGTATGGGGAGACAGATGCAGATGTGGCAGAGAAGGCGGGAGAAGACCTTGTGACCAGGACTCCCAGCCAAATCGCCAAAAGGACTTGCAGAGGAATGGAACCGCTCCATCGCTAGTAGGGTGGAGGTCACCGCTAGTAGTCATAAACGATGGATGCTGCCTGCGGAGGTGGGGTCAACGTGATTCGATCGGAAGTTCTTGTTTCAGGTGGCAAAGTGCCAAGAGATCGGGGTCAACGTGATTTTGTGCATCGGTGAGACTCTTGAGGAACGTGTGGCTCTCAGAACATGTTGAGGTTAGCCATTTATGCTGTGTGCATGGTACCTGTCGTTGGAAGCCTGTCAAGGCCCAAGCGTAGAAGGAAAAAGGTGTGAGTGGCGTCTGTCACTTTTAGTGGTAGCGGAGCCCCGATAGGGGGCTGTAGGTTTGATCCTGGCTTGAGCCGGATCCTTTTGCGCTTAGGGCCATGGTGGAGCGAGCCGGCGAAGAAGCGCCGATGCCTGACGACATCCCGACACCTTTCGTCAGGCGTCGGACGGTGACCTTCCAGGAGGGGACTACATCGGCGGCAGCACGAAATGAAGAGTCCAGTTCAGGACAAGAGGAGAGACTTCTTCAAGATCATCAACGAGCTGCACTGGCCGCTACGGTCGAGGCTGGCCCCAGGCCGCATCTGGGAGAACTGGGAGGAGGCTAGTAGTGAAGGTGTGGATGGATGGCACGGGTCTTCAAGGGCTTCGTCGGATCGCTCAAGTGTGGCTTCGTGGTCGGCTGGTTCCTGGAACTCTGATCATCGCGAGTGGCATGACTGGGGTTATGTGTCTGGGGATGGCCACTGGAAGGATGATATCTAATAGTTGGGGAGAAGATGATCATTGGTCGACCTGGTCATGGAGTGGCGGTCGTAGGACCAACTGGTCAGTGCAGTCATCCGGCAGTGGCGAACGCGATGAACGAGCTCAGCAACCAGTTTTTTCGACTTCGAGCCCTACTCCTGCGGCTGGACAGGTTCAAGGACCTTCGGGAGAACGTCATGGGGACGATTCAGACGAAGGTCATCAAGATGAAGCAGGAGTTCTCGGAGGGGACGGGCATGGTGATGGCAGCGGGGGGGCATGGCATGTCTCCTCTATCTGCGGCGCCAACGATCCGCATGAGGGATGCGGTGAACCGACCGACGGGACAAGTACCTAGTGGACACCCGTCGGTGGCGGGCGGATCGGGCACTGGATCGGCTCCGATCGGTGGTGGGACAGCGGGTCATGGAGGGCATGCCAATAGCAAACTGTCTTCCTCGTACCCACCCATCTTCTATGCTCGTCCAGGAGAATCATGGCAGGAGTATTGGCGGACGGTGGAATTCTGGTTGGCATCGGAAGGCAAGTCCCTACCACCAGAAGTACAAGGTCCCAGGTTGATGCAACAGCTGCGCGAACGTGCAGGCAAGATCGTGCAGCACTTGACGGTGCAGGAGGTAGCAGCTGAAGGAGGCATCAACATCATCCGCCAAACTATGGAAAAGAGCCCAATCATCAAGATTTTGGATACCAAGAAAGTGGACAAACGCAGACAGAAGTTCATGCGGTTGGGGCGCCTAGCAGGCGAATCCATCGAATCCTTCCTGAATCGGGCGGAGATTTACCGGCGGGAGAACCAGTCCTCCCCCGATTACACGGTCGGCTCCAAGTTCTACATTGGCCACTTGTTGGATGCGGCAAAGCTCACTAAACGTGACTTGGCTTTAATTAAGGCGGCCGCTGGTGGGAGCTTGGAGCACGAGGAGCCGGTGACCTTGGCGCTCCTCGACTTGGCCGAGCAGTTGGAAGGCCTTCCGCACTTTCCCATCGGCAAGGGAGAGGCCATGTTGGACAATGAGGACAAGTACCTCGTCCAAAAGGGGGGTGGGGTCACTTCTTCGTCTTCTGGACCCGTGGTGCCAGCAGGCTCACCTTCAACAACAGGACCCCCACGGAAGAGACGCTTTCTCAATCGCAGAAGATTCCGTGAAGCCTTGGTGGCAATCATGGAAGGTGAAGACCCAGAGGACACCAATCCTGAGGCTGAGGAGATCTTTGCAGCGCTTCACAACCAAGACCCGGGTGATGACAGCCTCGATGAAGACGATGAGAATCTGGAGACAACTTCCGGGAGTTCTGCGGCGTCGGAGACGGGAGACACCCCGTTGCTGGAGATCTACGCCCAGGAATACAAGGTGCGTGAGCTTCGCAAGATGCGCCAATACTTCACCAAGGACAAGGCTGGCGGACAGCAGCCGGAACATGTGAAGCAATGGGTGAAGAAACAGCAAGAGACTGATCCTGGTCCTTGTTTCCTGTGTGGGAAGTTGGGCCATTGGTCACAAGAATGCCCACTTCGGAAGAAGACTCCAATTCACGCCTCCAACGTGGTGTACTCAGCCAATGTGGCTTTTGAAGAGCGAAACCCCAAACGGGTGGTCGCTGATGAATGGGATTTGCTAGCAAGCTATGCCCAGAAGCCGGCACGAGACTTTGAGCATCGAGTATATATGGTGCACAGGGAGACCGGTCTCATGCAACCTTCTGGCAAACCACCATTACCAGCGGCCCCACACGACCTGTACTGGACTATGGATGAACTGGGAAGCAAAATCATTGTTGACCTGGGTTGCATGAGAACGGTGGCCGGAACGACGTGGGTCAATGCTCTGGTGCGTGAACTCGAAGGTCAAGGTCGTTTCATTAAGGTGGTCAAGGAAGCGGAATCGTTTCGTTTCGGGGATGGACACATTTCCAAGAGTCAGTATGGGGTGGTTGTGGAAGTCGCACTTGCGTCATTGCACTGCATGCTGCGGATCTCAGTGGTGTCCGGAAACTGCCCACCGTTGTTGAGCAAGTCAGTATGTTCACGGCTTGGGTTCATGATTGACACAGAGCAACACATGATCTCCTCCAAGTGTCTGGGTGTGCTACAGGAATAAACTCAAAGGATTGCCCCTGGAGTTTGTGAGACTGGCGGTTGCCGAGGAGATGGAAGCCCAGAACATCGCCATCGAGGCCTTCGAGGACATTGAGAAGGAACTGAAGGAGGGCCGGCAGAAGGCACGCATCACTCCGGACGTCCCGCAGGTCACCGACAAGAACTACCCGGTTATGGAGTTCTCAGACGATGAAGAGCCGCGACATGTGGATGACAATGAAGGAGGACGCGCTGCTTCGGCCTTGGACGACGTGCCTATGTCGCTCCACAAGAAAGCTATCGAGGACGACCCGGCCTTGTGGCCGTTTCCCAAGAGGCAACAAGTCTTTGAACCCAAGATGTCACTGGATCAGGCCACTCAGCGGACTCGGCATCACCTTCAGGAGATGAAGAAGAAACTGGAAGGGAAGTCAGGTTCACCGAGTTCGCCTCCGGAAACATCGACAACAGGCTCTGCGGCAGCGGGTTCGGCAGCCAGTGGTCCTATAGGGCAGTGGAGACTTCGAGGGCATCAGCTTCGAAGCCGGACAGGAGAAAGAAGGGAGATGCCAATCCGAAGGGATCGAAGGCCCCAAGGACGGCCATGCTGGTGGAAGGAGTGAGGCCCCTCTTCGACTCCTACGTGGTGGTACCACTTCAGTCCCCGCTGGAGACGGTTTGGCATGATGATGATGACAATGCCATCATGAACCAGGCTGCAAACGACCTCGATCCCCGACGGGATTTCCCAAGTCCGTGGATCCCTGCTCCGGGAATGGTGGACTTGATGCCTCCGAGACATTTTGTCGGCTTCCACAACCCTGTCGTTGACCAGGCAGAGCATGAGGTGGCATATACCAGAGGCACCTGGGAACAGCCTTGGCCGAATACACCGGTGCCACATGTGCATGTGCCACGTCATGTGGATAGACTGCCGGAAATGCCACCTGCCCTCACGCAACCTATTTCGGAAGCCCAAATGAGATCATTGATGAGGGCACGTTCGGAATGGCCTGATCAAGACTCATGGATCTATGACCCGGACATCGAAGAGCTTTGGCGGGTCCACCAGTGTCCTCGGGACCGAATCTTTGTACCTCGAGAACCAACCTGGCCATCTTCCATCAAGCCACACATGGTTTGTCGGACCTCGAGTCACTTGGATATACTTTGAGGACGACCATGAGGTGGTGGTGGTCGACAACTTCCGGTGGCAGGGCTGCAATGCGAATGCGGAGATGCGCACTGGAGATGGCCGAAAGTGGCGAGGGTTCACTCGATTTTGGATTCGTCGGCCGCCGGAGATCTCGGACCTGAACACATGGTTGAATGCCAGAGCACAGATGGAAGAATTGTGGCGGGCAGCTCAACAAATGATGAGCGTCTATTTCCGGATAAGGGCAATTACCAGGCTAGCTGGAACGACGCCTTCATGGTGCAGACCGACGTGGCCGACCTGATGGGCAACTTCCCGGTGATGAAGCGTTTGGTGAAGCCGCAACCGATGAGGCCGCACCAGTGCTACATCGAGACACAAGCAGACATCCAGGATTTGCCGACGGGCAAGGTCCGATTGGAGCTGAAGTGGGGCAGTTTGTCACCGGCATGGAAAAGTGCCTTTGAGGAGCCCATCAAGGATGCCTTGGATGTGTACTTTAAGTACGACGCCGTGGCCCCGGTGATGGTGGAGGAGAACATCGACCACGGCAACATCCTGCCTTCTCGGTTCGTCTTGGTGAACAAGTCCGAGCCCCGTAATGTGAGCCCCTTGGATGAACAACTAGAAGATGCTCGGCTGAAAGCTCGGTGGGTGGTCTCGGGACATCGCGACAAGGAGGCCGGCATGTGGGAGACAGAAGCTCCAACAGCTTCTCTGGTGGCGCACAATCTCTTGTGTTTCTTTGCGGCTCAGTTCGGTTGGACTATGTTCTTTGGAGACATCACAGATGCATTCTTGCAAGGCGAGAACCTGCATCCCGACCGCAAGGTCCTGGTGTCCCTGCCCCGTGGCTATCCGGACTTCGTGCAACAGTTCCTTGCTTCCAAGTTGCCTTCTGGAGCTCGCCATGACTTGGTTCGCTTTACCAAAGGGGGTTTTGGGTTGGCAGAATCACCTCGTCTTCTGCAAAAGACCTTGATTGCCTTGGGTGCCAAAGAATGGCTGTTGATCCCCGGAGTGTTCTCAGTCTTCCTGCAGGGCGAGATTGTTGCCATGATAGCATGCCATGTGGACGACATCAGACTGGTTGGACACCCGGAGAAGGCCAAGCCTGTTTGGGAAGCCATCAAGTCGGAGTTCACCTTCGGTGAGTGGCGCAATGTGGCAGAGCAGTGGGCCAAGTTTTGTGGACGTTATGAGCGGCAACTTCCTGACGGGACCATCGAGGTGCAGATGGACGAATACTGCGAGAAGCTTCAGTTCCCTCCAAAGAGAACGAAAAGAAGTGACCTTGAGCGGGACGGCACTGAGCTCACCATGACGGAGCGCAAATGGGTGGGCCATGTTTGTGGACAGCTTTCATGGCTGGCACGTCAATGTCGAGGAGATTTGCTGTTTGGAGTTTCCCGAGCGCAACAGCTGGCAGGTGTGGGGGATCCGGCGGCATTGGAAGAGCTCTATGTTTTGGTGGAGCGGGCCACGGATGTGAAGACCATGAGGTTCATGCCGCTGGGATGCTCTCCGAGTCAATGGTTGGTCGTGGCGGCCTCCGACGCCAGTTTTGGGGGGATGCCACGAGGACGCAGCCAAGGAGGGACAGTTTGTCTCATAGCTCACCCTGGTTTGCTGGAAGGCCGGTCGGGAGCGGTGCCGATCTCGTTCCAGTCGGCTCTCCTCAAGAGAGTGGTTCGTTCGAGCCTTGCTGCCGAGATCAGCCAAGCAGCTGAAGCATTGGACCAGGCAGATTTCCTGCGAGCGGTCATGGCCGAAGCTTTGTATGTCGCCTTCGACATCGACCAGTGGTTGACCCATGTTGCACACTGGCGCCTTGTCACGGTGCTCGACAGTCGCACGGGGGTATGACCTCTTGAATGGAGCTGGACACGGTGAGGACCGCCGCTTGGCCATAGACATAGCGGCTATGAAGCAGGCTCTGTTCGAAGACGGCGGAAACCGCCTTGTGAGATGGGTGCCTGGCCACGACCATGTGGCCGATGACTTGACGAAGCTCATGGGCAACGGCCGGCTGATGGCAGCGGTTTCGGAGAACCAATGGTCTCTGAGAGACACGCCGGAAGCAAAGGCGTTGAGAGAGGATGCTGCCGCTCGAAAGAAGAAGTACAGGCAGCGAATCCTCCAGGACCGCGAAACTGCGGAAGGGGGTAAGTGTCGTTGGAAGCCTGTCAAGGCCCAAGCGTAGAAGGAAAAAGGTGTGAGTGGCGTCTGTCACTTTTAGTGTACCCCTGATTGAGCTGAACCGGACATGCATTTCAGGGCTCAGCCAGGACAAAAGGAAGACCGTGTCCTCAAGTTGATACAAGCGCTAATTTTGATGTCACTTGGCTCCTTTGTGATGTTCCACAGCGCATCCCGAACATCGAGGACAAACTTATGTTGTTAATATTTGTCTTAGAACCGTAGAACCAAGCTTGAATCGTATCCAACTTACCCAACGAACTGACATCAACAACTAGAATCCGAACTACTACTGCTATATACTACTGCTTGAGTTCATTCTAGCCATTGCTCCTGCTCCTGCCCCCCACAGAAGAAGAAGTAGAAGAAGTAGAAATGCAGGAGCAAGAACAGCAGCAACAGCAATCTCATGTCTCCACGAGTTCTCCTCAGCCACCCACAATACTTCCCTCCCCTCGGCCAGGTGAGGGAGGAAAGACGGACGAGGTGAACAAGCGGCAGCTGGCTGCGGTGATTCCAAAAGTCAAGGAGCTCTATTTTGGGGACCTGATTGCGGCTCCCAATCGTGTCATGAAGCATGATTTCGGGGTCCTGCCAGCCTGGCGCACCAACTGCAGTGGTTTCAGAGTAGATGGCACTGACCTCAAGATGTCCTTTACATGGGGGTTCGTATAAACCACCGACATTGGGGTCTGTGCCATCTTCCACTCTCCATCCAAGTTAGATGGATCAGTCCGTTTTCTCCATTCTGCCTCCTCACATCCCATGGGTCGGGCCTCCGAGCCTTGGAAACTCTCCACCTTCGCTTCCCAGGACTGGAGCAAGATCGTGCTTGCGTATGAGCAGACAACCCAGTGTCAGTTGACCGTGGGGACTGGGGGATGACAAACAGTTTGGGGGTCCAAGACCTGGGTGCCAGCGCGGGGTGCACTGATCGGAGACGGTAGGTGTTGGGTCAATACCTTGACCAGGTGTGGAGGAATTTTTGGATTATCCTTTGCCAAAGATTGCTTGATGTTGATAGGTCAAATCACTTGTAGCAGCATTAACAAAAAAAATATATATATATATAAAAGTAAAACATTTGCACCTGATACATGGTGCATGGTGTAACACTCCTCTCATGCACAGTTTTCGGACACCCACCTTGGCCCATCATTCCCCAGGCCAAACTGATCCAGATTTCTCAGGCCAGTTTGGGCCATTGGCACGGGCAAGGTGGCGACTCCCGAACAGGCGGAAGAGACGCAGGCGCAGCCCGGCGCAGCAGGTGTTTACGTTTCAATTGTTTGTACCTGGATCTTCCATCTGTGACCTTTTCATCCATATTAAACATCAGGCAAGAGGCATACATTTGGCATAGTTGGAAGATCCAGGTATTATCTTCCAGGATCTTTTTAGGGTACCAGCCTGGTAGATCTGAGTCATGCGGAGTGGCCAGCTGAGGGAACGCACGGTTCGCGCCATGTTTTTTTGCTCATACCCCCAGTCACAGTGTGGTATTAAAATTTGGAAAGCACACCCCAGAGACTGGGCTTAAAAGGCGGCCATCCGTGCCTACATCAAGGGAGCCGTCAGCAGTGACGTTGCAGACAAGGCCCGTCGAGCGCGAGAGACGTCGACCGCTCCCCGTGACCCGACAGATGGTGGCCGCAGACAGATGGCGCTGTTAGGTGGCGTTTGTTCGAAATCCTGTTTGATCCTTTTTGTGAAAACGGCCGGTGGTAGCCACATGGGAAGTGGTTAGTAGATGCTGCCTGTGGCACCTGTGGGCACTACGATGTAAATGCAGAAGAGCGCTGTTCTTAGTTACTTGCAGGTGTTCCCTTCAACCGGCCGTAACGTGCATGTCTATGTGCGCGAATCAAGCACAGAGTCAGAATTATGTAGCCTGCAGCATAGCATGGCATGATCAAGATAAGATGAGTCTCATCCCTTAAGATATAGTGGATCGGGTGGCAATTCATACCTCAAACGTAAGACGTAAGATACTGGATGTGTCTACTGCACATTAAACTATAGCATTCACCGTGGGGGGCGCCTTTGTGCCATTCATACAAGGGTTGTTGCCATGGAGCATGCCTTCCAACAAGGGCGGCGCATTTTTCAGCAGCAGACTGGTGATCTCCCGCAGCCCAAGGACACCGACCAGCATCTTGGAATCACAGACCAGACAGTGAATTGCAGTATATAGTTCTTGTTTCTGGATTTCTCAAAACATGTCAGTTCTGCTGCGGGCATATCTGTCACAACCATTAGAAAACATGATCGCAACATGGATGGTGTTGTCCGGGCCTACAGAAAACTGTATCACTTGAGGCTACTGCAGACCTACCTGCTGGCAGCAAAGCAGATCCCATCGGTAGATCCACCAAGGTGAGGAGTTGACAGGTTTTTTCAGACCCCCCACCCACACAGCGCTGACCACCTCCCCGCACACACAGACAGGTAATTCATTGGGGGTTCTACATTGGGGTGTTGGGGATTCTGGTTGGTTGCGTCGATTTGTTAGCTTGCTTGTGCCTTTTGTTGCGAGCGGTGTGTTCATTTATATCTAGTGTCCATGCAACTTCCTGGGCATGTGGTAGATGTGGTAGCGCAAGCAATTCAACAAACAAACGCAAAGAACAGACTGTTTGAAATCATTGGCCAGTCTCACGAATGCTTGAACTGCAGGACTTTTTGTGTGGTTGGCTTCTGTTTGGCAATTCGCCCCGCCCGGAGGTTCATTCCATCACCCAGGATTCTGAGGTGGGAAGTGGCCGAGACGGATGACCGATCCAAAAGCGTGTCCTGTCACAGTGACGTGACAGAGGGAGAGAGGTGGGTCCGAATCCTCACATATCCTCACATGGCGATGAAACTTCAAGCCACATGACAGGCCACCATCGCCATTCCCGCTGCATACAGCAGCAGCAGCAGCAGCAGCACCACCACGCTCCATTTCGCCTTCGCCAGTGCGGCGCTCCGTGTCGCCTTTGCCTGCGGGTGGAAGGTATCATGTTGTCCCAAGCTCAGGTGCTTTTCGGCCCTCACTTCTTACCACGGTGCCAAAGTTGATTCCGGGAAATTATGTTTGCACTCGTGTGAGTAGGGCCTAGATCTGGGCAGCCACGTTCAATCCTTTGTTGTGTTTCCATCAAACGCATTCAATTGCAAATGCAAAGGATAGAACAGGACAGCTTGGCGTGCACAAACTTGAGCAATATCACTGCTTCCTGTCTTTGAGGTTAATCAGACACAAACGGCCCTTTCGGAAGCACCTTCAACGATACCATTGCAGCCCTTGAGAACGTATTTGGCTCAGCCTCCCCAGTCTCCACAGCCGGAAACCAGGCCGATGATGCCAAGTGTGGTGCCATTGGCCCAAACGACTCAGGCGACAAACCGAATGCAGGCACCCCCAAACATGAGCATCCCGATGCCCCACATCTCAACACCAAGCCGTGCAAGCCAGCGTGACTTTGCAACACCGGGCAGTGTGACTTGGCACCAGGGGCATGCCGACTCACAACCCAGAGACCTGAGACCAAGGCGAATGGCCCTGTCACCATCACCGGTACGATCTGCTTCACCGACTCCTTACGGGGACAACCCAGTCATGCCCTTTCGCCCATGTGTACCACTCCAAGTACCAGGAGCGGTCCCTGTTTACGCACCAGCACCACTTCCCCAAGAGCGGGTCCGGCCGGGGAATGAGAATTGGAAGGACTCCTCCATCTCGCAGTTCTCCACACCCATCAGGGAGTCCTTGACACAAAGTGTGCATCCCAATATGGCCAAGGAGCACATGGGAGAGATGTTGAACACCCTTTGGAGACGAACATCGACCTTCGCGGAGGAATGCAGCCGCTGGAACCATGAACTGGAGCAAAGACACCGCGAGGCCCAGGAGCTCGCCAGCACCATCCAGCGGCTTTCGGAGCAATTGGCTGCTCCAACCTCACAACTAAGCCAGGGGCGTGATGGCCTCCAACCTGATGGCGATGGCCTCCAACCTAGGAGCTCGCAACTAAACCAGGGGCCGCCAGCGCCCGAGATCTCACCGCAGACCTCGCCGCGGCCACCGTCGCGTCCTTCGCCCCTGGCGTCGGAGCCCGGCTTGCGACCGGTGGCGGCGATTCAGGAGGCGACCGGCCTCATCATGCCAGAGCGAGCGGTGGAGCAGACGTCAGAGATCGATGCGGAGGTGGCACCCGAAGAATCTGAAGAGACCACAGAGTGGCAAGCAAGTCCCGTCGAAGCGCTCGATGCTGAAAGTGTGGACTTGAATGCAACAGAGGCGCCTCCCGCACCCGATAGTGGCTGGGGAAGTGGCAGCATTGCAACAGAGTCCACGGCCAAGGTGCTGCTCGATGAGCCCGAGGAGGGTGAGCTTTTTGAGAAAGTTCGCACCGCCTTGTCGCGTGTGGTTGGGGCAGATGCCGCCGCAGATGGGCTGCAAGACCCAGCCTCCATCGTTCCACCTGCTGGATGGGAAGAATCACGTCCCCCACCAGACCCCATGTCTCCTCCTACAATTTCAGTTGGATCCACTGTGACTCAGGGGGAGCATGCCCTGTCCTCCGAGTCTGCCTGGGTCGGAGGCCATGAGGATGAAGAGGCCATCGCCTTCCCGGAGAACCTGGAAGACTTAGTGAAGCTGCTGCCGAACCGGCTGGGTCCAGAGGATCCAGAGCAAGCGCAGCAGGCGCAGCAGGCGCATCAGGCGGAGCAGCAGCGACCGTCTCCGGTCACCGAGGTCGACTCAGCAGGACTGACCTGGGAGAGTCTGGAGCTGATCGACCGAGCCACTGCCCAGAGTACACAGAAACCATTGAAGAGATCAATTCCAACCAAGCCACTTGGCGTGCAGAATGCGAATGATGCAGCGAAAAGGAACCGTCGAAAGAAAAACAGATGGAAAGGAGGACTCGTTCTTACCAGACATTTCCAGACGTTCAATTGATTCATTATGGAATGATTGACATGCATCCCGTTGATGATGACATTTTGACATAGTGCGGACCCAGTGCAGACAAAGGATGTTGGGGTTTACACTGGGGACCCAGCATACTGCCAAATTGGCAGGTGGGGGTTTCTGAGAATTGAGAAACATGGTAATGGCCGCCATGTAACCCCAGAGCTGTAGGTGAGGTCATTGAAGTAACATCGGTGAGAGCGTGATCTGGATCTAATTGACCCCTCACCTCACCTTAGTCGACAACTTTTGATCCAGAAAACCCATGAAAACCCTATGATCACCCTTCTAAAAGGGCTTCATCCCTTTTGACATGTAGAACCGAAACCCACTTCTGATCGAGTCAGTGGAACTCCGAGGTCGGAACCCCGGCTGCCCATCCAGGCGAAGCAGGCTCCAAAGCTGAGCCACTCCAAGGCGGGAGGTTTCAAGTATCGAGGGCTGCGAAATGAAGGAGGCACCCAAACCCGGACAGCTTGGGCTTTGGGGTTCTGGCGGGTTCTGGCTTTTGGAGAGCTCCTTTGAACTGTTGCATTTGATGCTGCCACTACATGCCACTATGATTTTTGCCGTTAACATGTTTGACTTGCATTGCTTCTTGCTGTTGATGGTGAGTGTGATCGATATTGCCATTGTGGGCTGTGATTGTGGCTGGTCATAGGTGCAGTCATCGTGGCCAGTCATGGCTTCTCGTGAAGGCGTTTGTTCTTGTAGAAACGCTTGTTTATTTGCTATTGTATCCCCCACCGGTGTTCGCCTATGAAATGCCAATGCTTTTGCCCTATACTATGCCAAATTTGACCCTCATTTTATAGGCAACATGGGTGGCACACAGCCTGAATCTTGGTGCTTTTTTGAGGGTTTGGAGGTACGAGGTCCACTTTAGCATTTTGTAAACTTTAATGATTTTGAGGCTGTTAGGGCCAGGGTCAAGGGGGCATTTTATAGGAGGATTGCATTTTTTCTTAAATTGAGTGCAGAGACCTGGTCAGGGCCTTTTATAGGCAACTGGGTTCTTTCTGTTAGATGAGTGCAGGACCCAACAAGGGCATCTTATAAACTACTCAAATTTTGTCAACGTTCTTTGACATGTTCATACATTGTCCAACTAAAAGGGCCTTTGGCGTGTAGACACCGGCCATCCAGGCGTACAGTACCTGGCACAATGGTAGTATACAAAATGCACCTGGTGGGTGGCTGTAGGCAGTGCCCTTGCACCTGCCCTCCCCCATTTTATGGACAAGCAGGGCCAGAGGCCCCCACTTAGAGGATAGGTCTCTAAAGGACTCTCAGGTATTGACTTGCCAGAAAGCCTGTGACTGTGGGACGGCTTCCAGCTATATATATATATAATTACAAAGCCAGCTAGTCTATAGAATGTGGGGGGCAGGTGCAAGGGCCCTAACGCCAGCAGGCACCCACCAGAGGCATTTTATATACTACCAATGTGCAAGAACAGGCGCCAGCAGGTTAATTCCAGCTGATCACATCCAATTATAAAGCGTTTTTGACAAAGTTCTGCGATGTTGCGAGGCCCGTGAACTGTTTGATATATTTTCTATGGTGAGCCCATCATGGGCATGTTATAGGCCTGCTGTTGTTTTGCTATTTTTAGTGTTGAGTGCTCAGAATCCACTTACCCCATTTTATAGTTTAGATGCATTTTGCTCAGTTTGGCATTTTATAGGAAATCCACCCTCTCCAGGCATTCATTTTATAGGGCCCAAAGTTTATAAAATGCATCTAAAAGCATCCAACCCAACAATGAAGGGGATTGCTATTGTCATGGGTGGGATGAACGCTGCAGGTACTGGACAGGGTGGGGAACACGAATCATTGGCACAGTCACTTCTGCCCATTGCTGCAACCGACATTTGCTGCGCTATCACACAAGGTTCTATTGGTAGAGTTTGCATGATCTGTGCTTCGGCCGAACTTTTTGTTCAGCAAAGTTTGAAGGAAGTCCACTGAATTTGATGGTTTTCCTAGCTCGCTCCGTGTCTTTTTTCGTCCATCGGCCAGCCCGGAGGCTTCACCCAAGATGGGACCGGAACCTCAACAGCCGCTGGCTCAAGGCCCAGGCGCCAGCGCTCAAGGCGCAGGTACCAGGTCCAAGGCGAGTCGTGGACTGTGTTTCGGCCAGGAAGAGCGAGTGGGGCGCGGGGGGGGGAAGAAGAGGTCAGCACCCAGTGTGGCGGGATGTGGAGCCATGTCTTGACAGAACATCCTGGTAGTGTGCCAAAGAGTTGGGGCTGCTAGGGCCCGATGTGAGAAAGCATGAGGTACCAGAAACTGTCAGAGAATGACCGCACAAGGAAATGCTGGCCTTGTTTCAACCAATCTTTGTCCAATCAATCAAGCACTCAAGTACTGTTTCAGCTTGTGCTTCAGTATGTTTGGTGCCACGATCTTGGGAGTTAAGAAAGAATCGTACCTATATAAAAACCTTCCCGAAGCCACCAATTGCACATTCTTGAGTTGAGCATCCTCAGCCAGTCCTGCGACTTCGGCGCCAAGGTCGAGGACGCCTGCCAAAAGCCCAAGTCCTCAGTGCCGTGGCGAAACCCGATTCGGTCCGTTTCGGTCACAAGAGTCCTCGAACCGAGCGAGATTCTTGGGCTATGTTAGGCTTGGATGATCGCCCTTGAATGAGGACTCATGGAAGGCATCGAGGCTTTAACAACAGAGGCTTTAGGTTCACTTCCAGGTGGAGGCTATGGTTCTACAACACGTTGGTCAATGGTTGCTGAAATGGGTGCTGGTGTGCCACATGACTTTCCCAGCCCTGCACATATTGGCTGACAAGAAAAACGAGACCCGAAGACTGCAACCGGAGGCCTAAGGCCTCACCTGACGAGCTGGGGCAAAAGCAGCTAAGGCACACGGGGCTGTGGTGGGGGCCCAGACAGGGCCGCGACAGGATGTGAAATGATGTGAAGGTTATGTTTTTTTGGTGTGGGTTTTCGGTGTTTTCGGTTTCATCACATCACATTAGTAACAAGTGCATCGCTGTTTTTTCAATGTTTAGGGCCTAGGGCTTCCTTGTTGCAACACACCCAAGCACGCTGGTTATTGGTTGCGCTGCATTGTTACATTTCTTCATATACTGCAACTTGTAAGAAGTTGAGTGTGAAGATGACATGTGCTCGCAGAGAAATTATCGAAATTATGCCATGGGACAGTGAAAGGATAGCTGTTTGATGCTGCAGCTACCGGGTGGGGTCGGGGTGGGTTCTGGTGCGAACCCTCGGTATGATCACCGACTTTCTGTGGGATCCTGCTGGATTGTTCCTGGGTGAAGACGATGCTTTCAAACTCACACTGAACTCGCGGGAGAGATGTGCGCTACTTTTGGGTGGGACTTGCGCTGCTTGTGGGAATTAGTAACAAGTTTGATCGAAAAATTAAGGCAAGCATGGGAGTAGGTGGCTAGAACCTGCATTACGCAGTGATGCAATGCGCAGGCGTTCTCGCAAAAGATCCGCATTGTCATGTACTGTAAATGCCCATCAAATACCAAATGCTGGTGTTGTTGCCCCCTAGTGTGTTTGGGGAAGAAGCTGACACTGGGGGGGGTCAGCGTCATTGGTGCTGCATGGTGCTGCCCTGCACCAAAATGGTAGCGGCAGCATCTCCACCGTGAAGCCTGTGCACTATTGGCAAAGACTTCTATAGAAATGACGTAGGAATGTTGAGGACAGTAGACAGTAGACTCATGTTTACAGGCACCTTCAGGTCCACTGCACCTGACGACCTCACACATCACCACTGTGCCAATAGAAAAATGGGAGACCACACGAAATCGAGAAAGAACGTGAAAGAAAAAGTGAAGTGGTTTCATTCTTGGGCTCCAAGAAGCACTCATTACTTATGACATCTCATGACCCTCATGTATCAATCTTCCTGAACCGCCTGAGTCAAGTGCGGCGCAGGTCCTTCTTGCGAAGCCTCTCAAGGCCACGCAGCAAGGCGGCTTTGCCTGCATCCTCTCGCTGATGTGGCTTCGACTGCAGGGGCCCCCAGCGCACAGGTGCCCCGTTGCACAGGTTGTTGAAGACACGCCTTTTTGAATGATAACTTGAAGTGCAACCATCAACACATTGGCACTTCTTTGTCATGCATCAAGATGTGTTCGCGATTTTGTTGTCGAGGTACAAGATCATTGCTGGGCAAGCTGCATCAGCAGTTAACGGTAGAGTGGATTCTGCACATTGCCAGAATGTTCATGTTGCGATGTAGGCTGTTCTTTTGTCAATGTGGATCAGTGATCTGTACAGTACAGTTCAGTTTAGCTATGTTTAGCTGTTTTGCTGCCATGCGTTGCATGAATCCAGGGAGGGCATCATTGATTCAGTAGCCTTGTTCTTCAGCGCCGGCTGTTCTTCTCCGGTTGTGTTCGCCTGGCCTAGATCTACTTAGTACACTTAATATGAATCAAGAAAGTGATCGTGCAAGATTGTGTGCCTGCATCATGCATTGGAGAGGACACTGGCTTCATTGTTTATATTGTCCGAATATACGGACAAGCTGAACCTGTCTCACTCGACTGTCCAAAAAGGATTTGGGCACCCGGATGTTAAGCATAGCCTCACAGCGGCCACAAAAGTGCGGGCATGGTATCACATGATGTATGCTGAAGCTATACATACATTGACATTTTAGTTTGTCGAGTCTTGTCGTTTGACACCTTGACTCGATATATGAAAGACCTGGATTCCGCACCAGACATTTGCGGCGTGCACTAGACTAGACATTTGGATAGATTTGCTTTGTCCCTGTGCGCCAGTTGCAAATCCAGTATGGCGGCAGCGTATCACCTGACAACTGCGCGGACGGTCAACCGTGCGGGGTCCGGAGCGAGTCGAAAGCAGTTGAGGGACTCGACTCAACACAGGCCCCACCGCCATCCTCACCCCTCCCAGAGAATTGTCAATTGGGGGCAATGGCACAAGGGGACACCTTTGACGAGGTAGACACGTCCTCCAAAGTCAAAGCAAATCGTTACAAATCTCAACGACTCGATTTTTGTCAAAGTCGAGAAGCCTCATGTTGGGCCAGCATTCTGGCCTGGTGCTCAGAGGGATTCCCCTTCTACCTGTGGGGGGGGGCCTTCCCTGATCGATGGTGAGAACCTGAAACTCAACCCAGTTGAGAGAGAATCCACAGCTCCTGATTTTACACAGATAGAAATAGAAACGACAAAACAACAAGATAACGATGCTTGACTTGTTAAACACCAGCGTACTGCGTTGGTGTTCATTTAATCTATTACTTTTTATCTTCCGTTTCCCTCCAACATATGTTCTGGCCATTCCTAAACGGCCGAGTCTCATTTTAAAAGACCTGGGTGCTTCGAGGAGCTCATCACCAAGCCCAACATTGATGGCTTCCTGGTGGGTGGCGCCTCTCTGAAGCCCACTTTCATGGAGATCGTCTCCAAGGCGCGAAAACACGCGACCGACCCGGGCGACCGTCACGCGGGACGCGTGTTCACGTGACCCGGGCTGTTCACGCGTGGGCTCGGTGTGTTTTTGCAGTGAAAGCTGGTGTCGACACATCTAGCAAATGCATCTCGCGTGCATAGATTCTAGATCAGCACATGTGTCATCTGTTTGGTGGCGAAGCAATGTGAGATGGATGATGATGGATCATAGAAAAGTACCCGACACGATGCCAGGTTGCCCATGGCGGCAAAGAGAACATGATACAGTAATCCAAACCAATGGATTCTCCCCGTCATCGGTACCTCGTTTCTCGGCCACATCGGCATGTCCGCACTTCGGGGGACCACTTTTGAGGAACGTGGGAAGTTTCCCGTAAATTCTCTCTCTCTATCTATATATATATATATGTGTGTGTATATGTATAGTTTATTATACTATATTATGTTACGTTATGTTTTTATAGTTGCGTTTTGCTTTTTAAATATTGTATTATATTGTTATAATTGCTAGTATATCATATATATATACAGTCATATAGATATATAGATATATATTATATGATACATAATACACACACCGTATAGTAAAATGTTGTCCGTTCTATTAGTTCCCGGCTCCAGGCGAGCTCCACGCTCGCCTGCAAGTGAAAATTGCAAACAAGGGCAAGATGGTTCTGTTACAGCAACGCGGTGTTTTGTTTTCGAATCGCTTGACATTTTGGTGCACGAGCTACGCTTGACATGCACTGGTCACTGGTGCCAGCGTTCATTCATGTGGCCGCTCCTGCTGTGCCTTGGAAACGGCTCCGTCCTGTGGCAGTCAAGCTACGGTGCAGAACACCAGCCATTCTGCACGGTGACATCATGTTTGGAGAATTTTGCCAGGTGGGGCCTTCAAAGATGGTTGACATGTGGCCCAAATTCGAGGAGAAGATGAAGAAGGAGCCTGATGTTGTGAACCACCACAACCTTATCCAACCCGCGCTCGGCCGTTGGACAGGCCGCAACGGACCTCCAACCAACCCATGTCGGCCGCTGCCGGTGTGGCCCCTTGAGCAGTCACATTGTTGGATGTTGTTGGGTGAGATGGGACTCAGGCCCCACATACCACGAGAGAATGCTTCCAACCAGCAGAGTGTGGGCAGTGAGAGCAGGGTGCCCCCCATGTGCCCCACCTTGGATGGTACTGGCATATCACGATCGGGAAGCACCGAGGTGGGTGTGTCTCAAAGCAGGGAATTTTTTGCAAGCCCTTCTTTTGTCGGTGCTTCTGGGGTGTGTCCTTTCAGGAGGGCTTGAACGACACTGCCATCGCCGCCTTCAAGTACACTTATGGTAGCTCGGAATGTTCTATGCGCCTCGTTTTTTGCCACTGTGCCCCTCTTGAGAGCCCAACTCGCTTGGCATGTTTGAGCCGCCGGGCCAGGGTTGCAGTTAGGTCTTCCAACCAGCCATCCCTGACTCTTCTATTGAGCTTCGTCATGTTCCCAGATGGCTCCTGACACCACCTACAAGGACGAGTCACTCAAGAGATCCTTTTTGCGGATGTTTGCATCTTGACTTTCAATCCCAGGCGTCCTTGTTTCTGGCGCTGATGCATGGGCCCCAGGGGCAGTGTGTTGACGTGCAAGAAGCGTGGGAGAGGTGCGATGCGCGCAGTATCCAGCTTTGAGATTTGCACATGAAATGCCTTCAAAATGTGCGATGATTACGATTGCACCAGAGCGTCGCATTCATATGCGGGCACACTCCAACCCGGGAAACGATAGGGGACTCACAAATTTCAAAGGATGCAACAGCCACACGTAGTAAATTGTGACCGTACTTTACATGTTTTCCTCCTTTAGCCGTTGGACGTGATGATTTCAGGTGATGATTCCGGAGAGCAAGCTGGATCCGGTGGAGAAGTTGCCAGAGCCTCCTGGACAAGATGGAAAGGAGTGCTGTTGGCCAGGGCACAGGCCTTTTTTGGTGTGGTTTGGGGGTTGAGCTGCTCAAAGTGGAGAAATGAGAGTCACGATTCACTATTCTCCAGACTTGGATATATAAATAGTCATACAGTTATACATGTAAATGTATCATGTAAATGTCAATGTGTGTTGCCGAACTGACTTGGCTTTTTTGAAGCCAATTTGGCCAGAGATTTGGACAGTGCGCATGTAAAGAGTGTAAGTGATGACTCCAACTGGACTCGCCCGACATGCTTCTCGACGATGAACTCTTTTCTAATTTGGGCGGTCACCACCTTCTCGGGAATCCAAGAAATATTTTCCACGCACTCACCATGTCACCCAATCTTGGACCATGGTCCCACATGGCTGAAGACTTCAAGCTGGACACGTGGCACTGGTAGGTTAAGTACTTCCCTCATGACAAAATAGCAGGCTGCTTGCATTGCAAGATCATGCTTCTTTTTTCATATGCCAAATGGTTAATTACCGGTTCCCAGGTTACCATATCAGATGTCAATGGTGAGGAATGAAGGGATGTCGGTTGTTCTTTCAGGCGACCCTGCAGCATGGAATGTTAGACCCTCGGATTCATGCTTGCTCAGGTATGAGAAGCTGAGAGAGAAGCCAGTGGCTTGACAGATTGTAGACGTTGCGGGTTGGGTGGGACATCGTATTTGGAAGATGTTGCAAACATTTTTGTGCAAGCTCGGCCTTTTCAAATGTAGGAGGCCATCGAGGCCATGTCGAATTTCCGAGTCATTTGGCTGGTGTATTTGGCAGGCGGCCCGTGCGTCGTGCGCACAGGACCCCAGGCTCTTGAAGAAGACTCTCATCCTTAAGCTGAATGGCGGATTGGGTACAGGCAAGGCCTTTCACGGCAGCTGTGAACGGTTTCGTTGAGATTTAGTAGCTGAGGTCGAAATGATGCGGATGCCAACCCAATGCCATGGATTTTTGTGGGCTCTACCTGACTGAGCATGTCATGAGTATAATTGAGATAGATAGATATATTATATATACATTGTACTTTCATGTACTTAGTACTTTAAACATATTTCAACTTCTTATCTGAAAGGCAGACAGGATCTTGAGACGGGGAATCCTCGGCCGGACACTCGCGAAAAAAAAAGAGAGACAGCAACTCCCATCTCATCAACTCCAAGCCTGTGACCAACAGGTATGGGCCTTGAGAAGGCCAAGTCCCTGCTGCCCGTCACACAAGGCTTCACCTTTTTGGATCTGACCCTTGGCGCAAAACCGCCCGTCACACCCCACCGGAGCACCGGCTCTCGCACGCGAGTCCACACTGGGGAGATCTCGGGAGACGGAGTCTGGAGGCGGCGAGTTTGCCGGGGCTTTCGGGGAACAGCGAGGTGTTCGGTGATGTTTCGGGGCCGAGTTTGCCAAGCCAAGGATTGCAAAGCAAGTCGCTTCCATGCGAAAAGAGTTCAAGACCGAAGCTTGGTGTTCGTCGCTGCGCACAGACGGGGTGGCTTCGTCATAAGGCTCATGGCCTGATTGAAGCCAATGAGCCTTTGAGCCCTCGCGTGCGGATGAAGACGAGAGTAGTGACAAGAGTATCTCTCAGTCGGAACTCAGGATCTCAAGTTCATGCTGATGAACTCTTTCTCAACCTCCCAGGAGACTCCGGTGAATCTGCGTACGACGTATGAAGTGCAGCTATACAAGACATGTTTGGCGCATATTGGCATATATGGGTGTTACAGTATAATAATGCAGAATCAATTCAAGGTCCTGATTCCTTAACCAGCCAAGTTGTTCTCAACGATTTGTCTTGTGGAAACATGTGCAAACGTGAAATTGCAGCTAGCATCACCAATTGGGCGAAACGGCCAAGCAATGACATACAGCAGCCTGGCTTATAATCTGGCTTATACATAGTTGAAACCAACGGGCACAATGCCGAGGGATAGTCCAAGCCCACCTTTTGAGGGCGTGAGAGTTGCTGAAAATCTGTATACGTTTGAAGTGTCGAAATCGCGACAGGACACCTTGGAAGCGCTTTCAAAGTACCCTGATTTGGGAACAGGATCTGATTTGGAGTGACTGGGCTGAAATTTGGTCGAACCCCACATGATTATACAGTGCTTGGCTGTCCACTTCACTTCGGAATCCTAGCGTCTTGTCCGCTGAGGTTCGTGCAGAACAAGGCGCCCAAGGTCACGGGGGGGGCCCCAGAAGATGGTCACGGGGCGCGAAGGGCCGCGAAGGGACAAGCAAACAGGGCCAGGAGCGAAGGAATGCAAACTGTTCTGAGGCTTAGGTGTAGGTTACAGATGGCTACAGCTGTCCAAAGCCTGGCTTTTTGGTGCTTTTTTGATCGAATTTGGTGTGTACTTGGATCACCCTGCACGGTGTCCAAACACAAACCCACTCTTGGAACCTAGCAACTTTACAGAATAAGGTTTTGCTAGTTGCGGGCCCGGAAAGTTGGAGACCCTTCAAATACCCAACCCCCAACACATGCAGAGTCAATGCCGACAATTGACCTCTTTAGAGACATAGGGAGAAACCAAACGACCGGATCGCACCTTTCGGCTTATTAGCCCTTCACTGGCATTCTATGCCTCGACCTCGCTGCAATAAGTGCCGGCAGACTCCCTGCTCCGTCGAAGACAGCTGGTGCGTTGGCTGTTCCGCCCTTGAGAACATCCAGAGTGATCTCAGGGCTGGTTGGGGTTGTCCTGAGTTGAGAGGAACTGTTCACGACTTGCTGGTGGACCTTTCCCGTACCACTCGGACTCTGAGGACACTGTCGCTGAGGTTTACTCCTGCGACACCCCCTCTTGCACCAGCTGCTCCGGAACGAGGGGACTCTGAGGCCGTTGGTGCTTCCGCGAAGTCCCAGCCTCGTCGACCTCCACAAGCTGAAGAAGAACCTCAACGGGGAGAACCTGATCCTGAAGAGTCGTATTCATACACGTATACGGAGGCTGAAGAGGAGGATCGGCTGGAGGAACAGCACACACCGGAGAGAAAACCGCCGGCAGCTGTCCCGCCTGTGCCAGCCCCGCCCCCGCGGGTGGCAGTGAAGAAGGAGGAGAAAGAAGGTGCACGTGAGAGGAGGTCGCACGCGGCAGCCAGTTCGCATAGGAGGCACAGGCATCGAGAAGGAGGTGATCGAGAGAGGAAGCGAGGTCGCAGAGGATGCCGCAAACATCAGCAATCGACTACACGAGGGTCGAAACCAGGTGTCAGGTTACACCGGAAGCGCAAGCCAGAGGAGTTGAGGTCATCGAGAGAGGACGAGTATTACAACGTCCCGAGGCCGCCGCCATGTCCGCGTTAAGGACCATCTTCGAAGCATGGCAAGAAGGTACAGAGTACAGCTTGGAGGAGAAGGAGGATTGGGCTTTGTTGAATCTGAACCGGGGGGGATTGTGTCGAGATTCCCATGAGCTTCACGAACTGGGAGCCTCCTTCGCAAGCACGAGCAGGCTTTGTGGTGATGGACCGGATGGTCACTTCAGAAGGTGGCATGGCGTTGAGAGCTCATGGAATCGGATGCTCAGATCCTCAGTTGAACAAGCGGATTTCATCCTTCTTCAACAGGAAAGAGGGGTTCTTACATTTGTGCATAAGTTCTCCTTGCACCGAAGCCGAAGAAAATTTCCTCCACGTCACTCGGCTGAAGGCATTCAGCAGAGAAGGCTTCAATCCCCCATACTTCCTAGGGTCTCACCGACGACAAGTAGCAAAGTGGCTCGACGGAGAGGAGATCCCAGGGGAAGAGAGAGAAGAGATTGTTGGAGAAGGGGGAGCTGGACCCTCGCGAGACAGGTCCGTGCTCCCCGACTTGAGTTGGTTGGGGTCGAACATGGAGGACAAGAAGGTTGTTGCGGAGAAAGGTGGAAGAGAGAAGGCAAGATCGCGTCCGGCCCCCAAAAGTCGCGAGACGCGTCCAGGCGCGCTGCGACCGAGCCACGCTGCTTCTCGAGCGCGGGCCAAAGGGAAAGGCGTGGCAGAAGGGCTCACTTGGTTGGGAGGAGACGAGATCCCAGGTGGCACATCCAGGAAGGACCTCACCGGGCCCGAAGAGGAGGACGGCGAACCAGCGGGGGTGGATATTGGTACCTCCCGCGAACGAGAGCAGATGTCCACCGCCGAGTTGAGGAAGAAGCTGGATGCAGTACGAGATCGGCTTGGAGGCGCAGTTCGACCGACCGTCAGGGATTTGAGAAGATTGGAGGAAGAGGAAGGTGCCGAGGATCAGTCGCCGGATCGAGAGCTAAGTTCCGGCTATGCGGAGGAGAGTCGAGGCCTGACGAGTGGGACATCGCTGAGGAAGAGGAAGCAACTGGAGGATTCAAGAGGTTCTTCTTCGAAAGACGTCTCGAGCCAGTTGGTGAGACAAGCACAGCACTCAGCAGCAGGTCGACTCCGAAAGAGCGGAGACGAGAAGGAGAAGGAGAAAGAAGGGGCGCCACCTCAGAGGACGGAAAGGGAGGAGTTGCTGGCCTTGCTCAACCAGGTGGGCAAGCGAGTTCAGAAGAAGAAAGACGGCGACAAAGACCCTCCAAAGAAAGACAAGGAACGCAGCCGATCAGAAAAGAAAAAGAAAAAGAAAAAGAAGGAGAAGAAAAAGGGGAAGAAAAGGAGACTAGTAAACGGGGTCCTTGTCAGCTCGAGCGGGTCAGACAGCTCCGACGAAGAATCATCGGGGGATTCAGGATCCGACAGCGAAAGTCAATTCGAAGCGCCATTGAGAAAAAGATCCAAAGCAAGCCCGGGAGCCGTACTTCGCCTGCTAGTACAGAAAGCCCAAGCCGCCTTAGACCAGGGGGCTTTAGTCGAGGTGTCAAGAGGAGGAGGAAGCGCAATCACGGAGGGAGTGAAGTTGACAACATACTTCCAGCTGCATGTGAAACCTCAGTTCTCTCACATGAAAGGCCCAATGAGGGACTTGTCGCTCATGGCCGCCTCGCTGGATGCATTCCGTGCGGGGTCGATCGGAAGAGGTTGCGACTTGCTGGCGGGCCACTTCCTCGCAGCACATCAAGCACTGATGGATGCATCGTGGAGCCAGGCCAAATACCTCGAGGTGCACGAGGGCGAGGAGCAGCATGCCACCTCGGCAGCAATATTGTTGGAGGCGAGAAAGCATGCCAAGACGAGCCTCAAGGCGGAGACACCCGAAGCTTGGATGCCCAGCCGAGGATGGCAGAGAAGCTGGTATCCAGCGTCGAAAGGGCCATGGCAGCAGGACAAAGGCAAAGGAAGAGGAAAGAAGGGCGGAAAAGGAAAAGACAAAGGAAGTTGGTCGGACAGAGAAGGAAAAGGCAAAAACAAGTGGAAGGAGACGCACGACAAGGGAGACAAAGAGGAAAAGTGAAGGACATTTTGGCGACAGTTAGTCCTCCAAGAGGAACTGGGGGCTTGGCGCCTTGTTTGAAGGAGGCAGGACAAGAGGATGTTGAGAAGCAGGAGGATGCAGCCGGCACACCTACAGCTTTTGAGTTGGCCAGGTCCCCTGGTTCTAGTACAGGTTCATTGAATTCGTTGGCAACCGGGCAGGAGATCTGCCTCGCCATAGGAGCGAGCGTTCGGGATTTGAAGAATGCTGGAACTCTTTTGGCATGGTTGTCAGTGCAGGCCGTTGAGTGTGGACATTCTGGCCCATGGCGTTGGGTCAGGCGTGTGTTGTATGAGAGTTGGGTGAACGCAGCTGGTTCAGTGGGGCCCAAGAGGGCTGCCACGTTTCCGTTGCGCAGAGGAGAGACAGAAGCAGTTTTCCAAGCTTTGAGGAAGGTTGACTTTGAAGAGGCTGGCAGTGAAGAGTTCTCCAACAGGTGGGCTGAAGACGCCTGGTTGATGCTTTGTCTACAGTCTGCTGGTGGCCTTGCAGGACCTTTGAGGCCGCTGGCGCCGGGCAAATGGACGAAGCTTGAAGCGAGGGGAGCAGAAGCGGCCAAAAAGGCCGTGCAGAGACTTGTGCAGTGTCACTGCGCTCCTCTCCAGAGCTTTGAAAAGGTTGGGCGTGATTTAGAGGGTGCGAAACTCGACTATTGTGGGGAAGAGGTTGGCACTTGCGAACCTTTGACATTGCAGCAAATCCTTCCTGCTCTACCTCCCATGGGACATGGGGGGTCGATTAAACTGGTTGAATTGGTTTCCCCTGCCACGAAGAAGATCTTGGAGTCCCCGGAGAAATTGTTGAAAGCTTCTTTCGATCGTCCGTGTCCGCGCATTCCGGGGTTGGCTCATTTTGGGGCAGGTGAGAAATTTCGGGTTTGTGAGTCCCTTGTTGCCCACGGGATTTGTGAGTGGATACCTGCGTCACAAGTTGTTGAACTTGAGGGTACAAAGATCCTGAACGGAATCTTCGGAGTGAAGAAGCCCGCAACCATTTCAACAGGTGCCAATGTGTTGAGGGTCATTATGAATTTGAAAGCAACCAATAGTGCAATGCATCAGGTGAGGGGAGCAGTGGAAGGCCTACCAGCTATCACGGCTTGGCAGGCGGCAGTTCTTGAGTGCAATCAGAGTTTGCATTTCTATCAGAGCGACATCTCGTCTGCATTTTATTTGTTTGAGTTGCCTAGAGTTTGGCTGGGTTACCTGGCTTTTGCTGTGTCCTACCCGGGCCATTCGGTCGGTATAGAAAGTTCCGAAACACACTATCTAGCATGCAGGGTCTTGCCTATGGGAATGCATAGCTCGGTTGCCCTAATGCAAGAAGTTTCAGAGGAGATCCTTTGGAGGGCAGGACTTTCTAAAGAGGCCCAAGTGAGACGTGGCCAGCCGGTCCCACAAGTTCTCTTACAGACAGCTTGCACAGCCTTGAGAGAAGACAAGTACTTTTGGCAAGTCTACCTTGACAATTTTATGGGAGGAGATAGGAGAGTTGCTGGAGATCCCCCCTTGATTGGTGATCAGGTCCACGATTCAGTTGAGGAGACCTGGAAATCCCATGGCATCCTATCGGCAGAGAAGAAGAAAATTCGTAACTCTCAAGAGGTAGAAGAACTAGGTGCGTTGCTTCAAGGAGAACTAGGTGTCGTTGGAGGATCCCCACATCGTTTTGGAAAGCTTGTCCAGGCAACCCTATGGATGTTGGGTCAACGTTTTCTTAAAAGGAAGCAGGTACAGGTGGTTGCAGGCAGGTGGGTACACGTCCTTCAGTTTCGCAGGCCTGGAATGAGTTTCTTGGATAGCTGCTGGAGGTTCATCAACAAAGGAGATCAGGGGGAGGACCTAGCTCTTAAGACTAAGAGAGAGTTTTTCAACATATTAGGGGGCATACCCATGCTGCATACCAGCTTAATGGCAGTGGTACATCAGTCGTTGTGGTGTTCAGATGCATCAGAGACAGGGGGAGCCGCAGGCTACTCCACACAGTTGACCAATCAGGGTCGAGACTTTGTTCTGTCGAGCCGACTGTCCAACAAGACATTAGGGACAGCGCCAGTGCTGGTGGTGGGCCTCTTCTCCGGCATTGGTGGCACATACAGAATCTACGACATTTTGAGCATTGTGCCTCAAGGCGCCATAGCCGTGGACATCCACGCCCCCGCCAATCGGGTGGTGAGCAGACAATGGCCAGGGGTTGAAATCTTGCGAGACGTGAGAAACATATCCCGCGAAACGGTACAATCCTGGCATAGGAGCTTTCACACAGTCAAGGAGGTCCACTTGTGGGGTGGTTTCCCGTGCCGTGATCTCAGTTCGGCAAGGGCTAACCGAAGGAACTTGGCAGGAAGCGAAAGCAGTTTGTTCTTCGAGTTCCTGCGCGTTTGGGGCCTTATTCGAGAGGTCTTCCCTACAGAAGTTGACGTCAAAGTAGCAGCCGAGAACGTGGCATCTATGGATGAGGAAGCATCAGCAGAGATTTCAGAATGGATGGGATGCCATCCCTACTACCTGGATTCAGCGGATGCAGTCCCCCTTCGGAGACCCCGTCTGTGTTGGACCACCGAAGAGGTTGAAGGAGTTTTGCAAGGTGTTGAGGTCATCCCTGGTAGACGTTGGAACACCATTAGGGCACCCTGTCAGTACCCTGACACAGAGCAGTGGATCACCCCGGGATTTGTTTGGCCAGGTGAAAAGACTGCAAAGTGCTTCCCCACATGCATGAGAGCAGTTTGGAAAGAAGAACCTCCTTACAAGCCGGCAGGCATTCATAGAGCGGATATAGACTGCCAAGCACGATGGGCTATTACAGGCTATGTCTACCCCCCGTATCAGTTTCGGGAAGAGTTCTTGCTCTGGCGAAATGAATTTTGGAGGTTAACTAATAGTTCTGAGAGGGAACTGTTGATGGGCTACGGTTTCGGACATTGTGATGTCGCCTGGTCAGCTAGCAAAATCAAACAGGACCCAAAGGGTTATGAGCGAGAGAAGTGTTCATTGATAGGAGATTCGTTCAGCATCTACTCCTTTGTCATTATTGGGGCCTCTCTTTGTCGCCACTTCCTCCCGAGGATTCAATTTCGGCATTTGTGCCTTAGGATGGGTATGGCACCGGGGTTCCGAGCTGCGTTGCGTTTGCAGGCTCCCCTGGCCCGCGTGTTGCAGTATGGATGTCAAACAATGGTTGATGCTGACCCTCCTTGTACTGTTAAGGACTTCAATCTCATGATGTTGAGTCGCACGAACTTCACCGGAAGCGACGTTCGGGTGGTAAGTGGCAATTTGGTGAACCCTAGAGCATTTCCACGGCAATCTATCCGCGCAGCTTGGTTCATATGGCAGAAGGGCTTCAGAATGCACTGGTCAAGACCACAACACATTAACCAACTGGAATTGAAGACCATCTTGTTGAGTGTGTTGAGAGGAATCAGGTCCGAACACTGGAGCGATAGGAGAATCTTTCACTTGAGCGATTCCTACGTCTCCATCAGTGTCATCGCCAAGGGTCGGTCAAGTAGCAAGATGCTTAACCGTTTGTTGAAGGTGTTGAATGCCCATCTCCTCCTTTACAACATCTACTTGGTTCTAGGACACATTGAGAGCACGGAGAATCCCACTGATGCCGAGAGTCGTCGGAAAGGTCATCCACAAACGAACTCGCAGTGAGCGAAAAGCTGCCCGAAAGGGCCTTGACCTTCGAAATGCAGGAGTAACGGACAAGACTCGTGCAGCCTACTTTGTGGCTCTGTGTCTTTTGCTCCCTTTCATTGTAAATGTGAGGAATGAGGCTGAGTTAGATCTCGCTTGTTCTGAATGGGTCGCATTGTGTTGGGAAGACGGTGACTCTCTCTACACCGTTGGCAACGCGTTGTCCGGTCTTCACTTCTTTGAGCCTTTCACCAAAAGAAAAATTCCTTCGGCTTGGAAATTATTCGCCAATTGGAAAAAGATGGAATGGCCGGCACGTGCACCTCCATTGACCAGCGACATTGTTCTCAGCCTTGCACATTATGCACTTTCCCATAATGATCCCTTCTTCTGTTGTCTTCTCACCTTAGGGTTCTTTACCCTCCTTAGGACTGGTGAACTACTTCAATTGAAAGGGCAAGATCTTTTGGTGAATTCAAAGAGACTCGTCGTGTCATTGAAGGACACTAAGACTGGCAAACGGAACGCCGCTGATGAAATGGTCACAACGGATCATGCTTTTACGGTGATGGTCGCACAGACTATACGGGAAATTTTAGCCCGCCATAATCTTCTTCATTGCAAGTTGTGGGCTTTTTCAGGACAGGCCTTTGGAAATCATTTCGACTCGTACATTCGTCGTTTTCACCTGCAGAGTTTTGCCTTTAGGCCGTACTCTCTGAGGCGCGGTGGCGCCACGTGGATTGTGCAGAGTACAGGAAGCATGGAACTGGCATTATTAAAAGGCCGGTGGGCCAGCCACCGAGTGGCCCGAATATACATTGCTGATGGACTTAGCAAGCTTCTTGATTTTTGGCACCCTCGTCGCCTTTCCAGCGCCGCAAAGGGGGTCCGTGGAAGTGC